CCCTGTCACCAGGTAGAGCTCCAGGCACAGGGACCAACAGTTCCTATGAGGAGGGAAAGGTGATGCCAGCAGGGCTCGGCATGGTGAAGACCATGTCATTTGTTGCCTGGGCTCCTTTCACCCTTGCCACTCCCCCAGCTGTTCATCCCTGTGCTCATCCGGTTCCCCAGCTGGCCTATGCTGAATTTGCCCCATTCAGGAGAAGCCATGTGGATGTCCTTCTGAGCAGAAACACCTGAGGGCGGTGTGGAGAGGATGCCAGTGGCCTGAATCTCGTAAGCCTGTGAGCACAGCAGCAGAGAGGTGTCACTAGTAGAGCATGAGTGAAAGAAATTACACTGTACAGCTGCTTTCAAGACCCTAGTGGTCTCACCGGCTGTATCCCAGCAGCACCCTCACACCCCTCTGGAGGGCAAGCTCAATCCTGCCAGAAAAGGATACCACCTTGGACAGGTTGATTCACAGGGCAGACAGGGCAGAGACACAGATGGTCTCAGTCCCTGAGCACTCCCTGAATTTGCCAGACAAAGTGTGCTCCTGAAGCAGATCTGCCAGAAGCCCTTGCCCAAGAGCCAGCACCAGGCTGAGACACCCAGGGCTCCCCAGCCAGACCCCAGGGAGAAACCATCTCTGGAGGAACTTGGGCTGCTGCCTGTCAGCAAGGAACATGGAGGGAGAGGCCATCCTGGCCCCAATCCTCAGCACCTCTTGTCCCTTATCCCCCCCGCTTTGGACCACACTCGATTCCTTCTTCCTTCCCATGCCAGCGCACGGACTGTCCCTGGGCTCTTCACAGGCATTTACCTTCCTCTCCTACCCCTCTCACCAGCTCTGCTGGGCCAGGGCTGGAGGGAGCCCTGCACACACACATGCGTGCGCACATACACACACATGTGCACACACATGTGTGCACACACCAACCTCTCATATACCTCCCATCCCCATCACAGTGATCACTGCACCAGCCTGGAGCACTTCCAATACTCAAACATGTGTGTGACTGGCCTGGCTGGAGTGGGCAAAGGCTCGGGATGCTGAGCATCTCCTGTCCCTGCAGTCCCTCTGTGGAGGAAAGAGGGCTGGGGAAAGCAGCCAGGAAAAGGGGTCCTGGCCTGCTTTGTTTCCTGCCCTTCCTGGTCCTAGGTTGAGTGGTGTTATGGCTAGGGATAGCGTGGGGCAGCTGAGACCCCCATGCCTTTGTGATGTTCAGAAACATTCCCAAGTCTGCTGCAGAGAGTAAGAGAAACTAACTGCAGTGGGAGTCACAGTTCCCTGCAGGAGAGCAGCTGGAAGCTGCAGACACTGTTTTGCTCTTCAGAGAAAGGGATGGGGGAAGAGCTTCATGGCAAAGCCCATGAGAGCCCTCAGCAGGCAGAATGCTTGGGCTGTTGTCGTGTCTTTCCTGGTCCTGCCTCTCACTGACGTTAATTGCTGTGCTCACAGTACTACATAGAGAAAAAGAGCCCTCACACAACCAGGGGTAAAAAAAAAAAGAACCAGCCATGGCTGGGGGAGAGAGGGAAAGTGCATGGGAAAATGCAAGGGACCTAAATATGTCCTTCATACCTCATTTCTCCAGTGTCAAGGACTTCAGAAGGAGAAGGGGAACTCTCAGCATTCCTCTGCCTTGCACACACTCAGACTCCCATGCAACCTCAGCATAGTTCCGTCCATGCAACCCCCTTCTCCCCTCCCCGCACCCACCCCTCTCTGCATCTCTGCAGGGTTTATACTTTCCTGTGTTTGTGTGCGTCATTCCCCAGTGTTCCCAGCCAGCCAATCCTTTCTCACATTTCATGTCCTGCCCAAGCCCAATATGCCTCATGCTCACTCAGTGCTTCCTCTTCACATATCTCTGGGCAGCTACAAAAGACAGGTCCCTGAAAGGACAGGGGCTTTTTGCCCATGGTTCCCCGCTGGTTCTTTGTGGCCATGCTGGCTCCTATGGGTAAGTGAACTCAACTCACCCCTGCGCACCTACATCGACTCCACTGCTGCTCTCCCAGCTGTGTACCCAGTTGCTGGCAGTGCTCCATTCCCCAAAGCTTCCTGTGCTGAGGATGGGCAATGAGTGAGGCGGGCAGGAATCCCTCAATCTCCTGCAATGGCTGTCTATTTTCTCTTCTGTGCACAGCCCCCAAATGGTTCCTTTTTTGGACACAAACTGCCCAGGAATGTTTCTTGCCTATCGGGGAGATTGAAAACTCATCTGCTGATCTGAAGAGCTGTCCCATCCCTTTTGCTGCTCCCTAGCCTGTCCTGTTCCTTCTCACCTTCTTCTCTACCAACCCACGGTGCCTAGTTCATGTTTTCCATTTTTTTCCTCCCCCTCAACACTCCTCCTTTTCCTTTCCAGCGTTGGCTCTGGAACAGTCCCCCGACACAGTGATACAACAAGGCCAGTCTGTGAATCTGAGCTGTTCCGAGAAGAAATCCTCCAGCACAGCTATGTACTGGTACAAGCTGCCTTTGGGGAAGGACTCCGGGCTGATCCTAGTGGCTTCTGCATTAGTTGGTGGTGCAGCAAATGTTGAGAAGGATCTCCAAAGTCATTTCAAGAGCAGTAAGATAGAAGGAGACAGGATGACCCTCTTGATAGAGCATGCCTTTCTCAATGACTCTGGCATGTATTACTGTGCTGAGAATGAAACACAGTGGCTAGGCTGCTGAGGGAGCTGAGCACAAACCTCCCCCTGCACAAAAGGGACCTGCTTTCCTCCTCGTTGGTGGTGCATAAGGCATGATGATCCCTTTCCACTCATTACCTCCTCTGCTTCCTAGACTTCCCTTCCTCCTCTTCTCAGACTCTGTGAGTTTATTTGTCCTGCTTTGTCTCCTTGCCACCCCACTCCTCCTTGCCTCCCTCTTCATTAAACTCTCATTTACATTATATTCACTTCCGTCAACCTTCTTCCCCTCTCTGCCTCCCTTTCTCTCCCCACCTTCTTCTTTCTGTCTCTCTTCAGGCTGCACTCCACAGACTTCCTCTCATTTAACTCCAGCCAACCTTGTTCATCATTCTCACTGTCAAGCAGAACGAATGTTCACGTGAGAAGTTCTTGCTGCACCTTTAGATAAAGGCAAGGCCAGGCAGGTGGTGCAATAGCCAGTACCACGTGGGAGGTGCCCACATGCTCCTCTGTTACAATGACCCTTCTGAGGTGATCCTGTGGCCAAGGGATATGTGCTGCACAGCACAGGCCTGAAGGCCTCACTGCACATGCAGCACAGCACAGCACAGGCCTGCACCTACTCAGGGCAACTGTTATGTCCATCACTAACTCCTCCACGTACAATGGTCTCCGGGTCAGGATCGCTACCTTCCACCCCTTGATCCACATACAGTTTACTTTTCCCAAAGATATTATACAAATTACAGATTATGTTAGCAAGCTGTGCAGCTAACAGAAAGTTTCCTGACAGGTTAGAGTGTTGTCTCTGTCATAACATACACCAGTGCGTGGCACAGGCTGGCATGGGGCACTCCAGCAGGTTCCCACACTGCAGCTTCTCATGCTAACGTATGGGCTTCTCAAGCCCTAAGCACAAAGCCCAACAGAGCAGGCATAGCCTGTTCGAGATCACTAACTCCTCGAATACCATGTGCTCTGCAAGGCTCCCAATGCACTGCCCTGCCACCTGCACACCACAGGGAACCCCGTGGGAAATGGAGACCATTCCCATGGACACGTCAAGCACAGCCTCCTCTCAGCCGGAGTGCTGGGGGTGTTGTGGGGGTGTGGGGTTTCTTCCTGTTACCTGCACAATTTAGCCCACCTTCTTTGTTCTTTTCTCCCTTTTCTTTTGAGGAATCCGGGGTCATCGCTGAATCTCCTGTAGGCAGTTTGTGGAAATGAATGCAATGGGACACACTTGGACCTGCAACAGAGGGTCTGGGAGCTGGAGGCATTGCTGTGCCGTTCTGCTAAAAGGACACAGGGGAACATCTTCACTGCAAAGTCCATGTCAGCCTTGAGCAGCCAGATCACTTGCTCCCTTGTATGGGCCAGCCTTCCACTGCTGTGCATTGCTGGGCCCACAGCACGGCACAGATGTGCAGAGGCTCTGTCAGGCCTCTGACACGCAGAGAGTGTGTCAGTGTACACAAACTGCGAGCCTCAATTCCTGCCTGCAGTGATTTCCCATAGCCTTGGCTTGGTGAACCAGGCTGTGCCCCATGTAGAGAAGAACACAGGATTTTCTCCTGCTCTGTCCATCCTTGTCCTGTTGCCCCTTTGCAGAATGCTACAAAAAGGAGAGTATCAGCTCTTCTCTGGCATGGAGAAGGTAAGTCTGTAGCAGCATACCCTACGGTGAATACCCTTCTCCTCAGAAATCACTCCATGTTGCAGTCTCCCATGAGGCAGTCCCAGTGCAGAGCCAAAGGCAGTCTTTTCCCCCCTTGAGACCTCCCTTTGGAGGAAGTGAAGAACAGTTACAGAATTCCTCTCTGTCATGCTACAACAGACACCAGGATGACAGGTCAGAAGCCTTTCCCATACCTGAGCAACATGACGAGCAGCACTGGGATAAGCAGAGAAGATTCCACATTGCAGCTTGCAGGGTTGAGAGTCTGTGAGTGTGAGCGTGTCTAGGGAGGACACTCAGCTGAGGGGCACAGACACAAACATGCATTCCTGAGGTCTCTTTCTCTTCCCTTCATTTGGTGCCTCTTTGTGCATCCCTGTGCCATGCACACACTCAGGCTGCCACACAGCGCCGCCATGCTCCTCTGAAAATGCTTATCGCCCACCTATGCATACACACACACACACAGAGCAGGAAGTCAGTGGAGCTGGGTACATGCACCTTATGCCTGCATGCAGGTGTCATTCCCCACTGTTCTCAGACAGCCAACTGCCTTCTCACATTTCAGGCTCTCTCTCACTGCCCTGCCCACCCGCAAAGAGACGTGTCTCTTCCTCTCTCAACCTTTCCTCTTCACACATCTCTGTGCCTGTGCTGCCACCACAGGAAGGTTGCTGGAAGGAGGTGGCCTTTCTCCATGGTTCGCCACTGGTTCCTTGTGGCCATCCTGGCCCCTGTGGGTAAGTGAGCTTCCCTTCTGCTTGAACAGCTGCACTGGAGCCACTGCTGCTGCCTCAGCTATGTGCCCAGTTGCTGGCAGTGCCCCATTCCCCAAGGCTTCCATGGGGAGGATGGGCAATGAACGAGGTGAGTTTTTCCTCAACATCTTAACTCAGAAAACTCTACAGATCTACAAATTTGTTTTTTCTGTCCCACTTCAACTGAGAGTACTGAAGTCATTATTTTTCAAAACAAATTTATCATTGTATTTGAAGATGGTTTGTGGTTTTTTTTCTCCTACGTCTCTCTCAGAGAAACGGGACACTGTCCCATAGCTTGCTGACATCCTTATGCCACCCCATCCCATGTCATACTTCAAGGATGTGTTTTTATGTCCCCTTCAACGCGTTTCACTCCTCACATCTCTTCCCTTCTCCTTCCAGGCCAGGCCCTTCAGCAATCACCAGACACAGTTGTCCGAGTGGGAGACTCTGTGACTCTGAACTGTTCCCAACAGAGGAGTGCATTCTCAACCATGTACTGGTACAAGTTGCCCACGGGGAAGGATGCCACTCTGCAGTTGGTTGTATACTCAGTGGAAGGTGGCGTGGCAGAGATTGAGAAGGAATTCAGAAACCACTTCCAGAGTAATGGGACTAAGGACAAACGCTTATCTGTGGAGATAGATCATGCCCTACTCAATGACTCAGGCACATATTTCTGTGCTGAGAAAGACCCACAGTGACTCAAAAGCTGGAGCAGCATAGCAGAAACCTTTCCATGCAAACAGTGATCTGCCCCTGGCACACACACACAGCCCTGTATTTGACAGTATCCCATTTTCTCCTCTTGCCCTCCAGCTCTGTCTACTTAAGGGAAGTGGTAGTATTGTCTGACTTCTGCCTGGTCTCTAATTTCTTTCCTATTCTTTCCCATCTCTGAATCACCTTTTGACCCTCCTTTCTTCTTGTACTCACTGCCTTGCCTTGGTTCTCTGCTATCTATAGACTGCCTCTCACTTTCCTCCTCTACTCTCTTTCCCCTTTCTTCTCTGTGCTCTCTCACACCTGTCCCCTTCCTATTTCCTACATCCTCTTCCATTTCTTCTCATTTTCAGCCTGTTATTCTAACTCATAAGTAAGCAGGATGTGGAATAGTTCACACAGCCCTTTCCTTCTTGACCAGTTGGAAGGCCAAGGCCAACCTGGAGTTGAATCTGGCAAGGGATCCTGGAACTGAGCACTCCTGTGTGTGCTCGTGTGTCTACGAGATTCAAGGGTCTCCTGGGATTGCTCACGTTGTGGTTTCCAAGACTACAGGTGCCTCGCCAGTCATCCGGGGCTCAGCACGCTGCTGTGCACGAGGGTTCTGAGTTCTGGAGCACTGGCAGCACCATGCCACTGAGCACTTCTATGAGTGTGCTCGTGCCTTGGTCCCACTGGTCTGCAGGGAATGGGCACGCTGCTGTGCACCAGGGTCCCCGAGTCACGCCGCTACCCTGTGACGTGAACACTCTGATGTATGCGATGTAGCCCAAGTCCCGATGGTATCCGGGGATGGAGCACGGTCCTGTAGGCGAGGAGCCCCAAGCCACAGCAGATACTCACAGCTACATCACTCCCTGAGCTTTTCTTCCTGCCCCCCTGCCAACCTTCCTTTCCTGTCTTCCTTTGTGCTTTCATTCTTTCCTAGCTTCCTGCCGACTCTCCTTCCTTCTGTCCTGCCTTCTTGCCTTCCTTCTGTCCTGCCTTCTTCCTTGCCTTCCTCCCTTTCTGGCATGCCTTCCTGCTTCCCTCCTGTCCTTCCTTCCTGCAGCTTTCCTGCCTTCCCTCCTCACTTCCCACCTTCCTCTCTCCTGACCTTCTTTCCTTCCCTGTCTTCATCCCTTTCTTCAATCCCTTTCCTTCCCTTCATCCCTCCTTCCATCCTTCTCTCCTTTTTTGCTGCTGCTGCCTGCCCACCTGCCTGCTCTTCTCTCCCGCCCTCCTTCCTTCCTCTGTTTACAGCCTTCCTTTCTGCCTTGCTGACCTCCTTTCATCCACACACTTTGGGATGCGTGTGAGGGTCCCAGCCTTCACAGGATCCCCAGATGTGATGGGGATTCAGTGGACGATGTTTCCCAAGCCCGGACGGTAGAAGAAGTGAGCACTCCGCTATTGCCTGCCCTCCAAGGCCCAAGCCAAGGTTGTAGCTCTGAGGAGAGCATGCTGCTGTGTGTGAGAGTCACCGAGTCCTGATGGTACACTGGTGCTTCCGTGGTGCTGCAGGTGATGGTCCTGGAGTGCCGCTGGTACCAGGAGAATGAGCACTTTGCAGCGTGCCCTAGTCCTAGAGCCTCACCAGTACTGAGCCTTCTTTGCTTCAGTCTCTACCAGTAAAACCTGCCTTCAGGAATCCCAGGCCCCTGAGACTAGACAAAAAGTCTAGAACCAGGAAGACATCCTCAGTGGAGGAGAACCAGGTTAAAGAGCACTTAAGCAAATTGGATGTACAGAAGTCCATGGAACCTGATGGGTTGCATCCACAACTGCTGAGGGAGCTTGCTGGTGTGATTGTGAGGCCACTCTTGATTATCATTGAGCGGTCATGGGGAGTGGGAGAGGTTTCTGAGGACTGGAAGAGAGTCAGTAACACTCCTATCTTTAAGAAGGGCAAGAAGGAAGACCTGGACAACTACGAGCCAGTCAGCCTTACCTCAGTCCCTGGGAAGGTTATGGAATATACCCTCCTGGAAAGCACTTCCAAATACACGAGAGACAAGAAGGTGACTGGGAGTAGTCAGCAATAATTTATGAAGGAGGAATCATGCTTGACCAACCTCATTGCCTCCTACAATGACATGATCAGCTTGGGGGACGATGGGAGAGCAGAGGGTCTTGTTTACCTCAACTTTGGTAAAGCCGTTGACGCTGTCTCCCGTAACACCCTCACAGAGAAGCAGGCAAATTATTGGTTACGTAAGTGGACAGTGCAGTGGATTAAAAACTTGCTGAACATGCAGTCCCAGAGGGTTGCGATCGGTGGCAGACGGTCCAGTTGGAAAACAGTCTGTCGTAGTGTACGCCAGGCGTTGATACTAGGATCAATACTGTTCAACATCTTCATTAATGACCTGTATGATGGGATGAAATACACCCTCAGCAAGTTTGTAGATTATACAGAACTGGCGGGGGGGGGGGGGGGGGGGGGGGGGGCACAAAAAACTTGTGGGGAACTGGTCAGAGAGGAATCTCTTGATGTTAAACAAGGGGAAGTGCAGGGTCCTGCATCTGGGGAAGAATAACCCAGGCACCAGTACACACTGCGGGCTGACTGGCTGGAAAACAGCTTTGCCAAGAAGGATCTGGGGGTCCTGGTGGACAACAAGCCGACCATGAGCCAGCAATGCACCCTCACAGCAAAAAAAAGGCCAACAATGTTCTGGCCTGCATTAGCAAGGGTGTTGTCACCAGGTCAAGAGAGATAATCCATCCTCTCTGCTCAGCACTGGTGAGGCTCCATCTGGAGTGCTGGGTCCAAGGTCTGGGGTCCCCAGTACAAGAAAGATATGGACTTACTGGAGTGGTTTAACACAGGGACACAAAGCTGATTAAGGGACTGGATCATCTTTCATATGACAACAAGCAAAGAGAGACGGGACCCCTTAGCCTGGAGAAGACAAGGCTCAAGTGGGATCTTATCAATGTGTATAAATACCTGAAGGGAGGTGTGAACAAAGATGAGGGAACCAGACTCTTCTCAATAGTGCCTAGTGACAGGACAAGAGGCAATTGGCACAAATTAAAATGCATGAAACTCCATCTGACCATAAGAAAACACATTTTTACCATTTTTTTACTGGGAACAGGCTGCCCAAGAGAGGTTGTACCATCTCCACCCTTGGAGATATTCCAAACCCAACTGGATATGGTCCTGGATAACCTACTTTGCCTAACCCTGGTTGAGCAGGGAGGGTTAGACTGTAGGATCTTGAAAGGTCTCTTCTGGATGGACCTACCCCATTCACTGGACAAGCTTAGGACCAGTGAATCAGGGAGCAGCTCAGGAGAGAAGGATCCAGGCCTGTGCGGGGCAACAGACTACCCCAGTCAGCAAGGTGCTCTGTGGCAATAATCCACCATACCTTTGTCTCTGCTAGCCAGAATGGAGCTGCCAGGGCCAGGAGGGACATCATTCCCCCACCCTGCTCCACACTGGGGAGGCCACAGCTGTGGACTGGAACCTTGTGTCCCCAGGACAAGGAAGATGTCTATCAGAGGTCTTGGAGACGGTGAGCACTGGAACACAGGGCAGGTGGGGAGAGGTTGAGGGTTCTGGGTTTGTCTGGCCAGAAGACAAGAAGGCAGGGGAGCATTAGTTGCAGCCTCTCATTTCCCAGAGGGAGCTGAGGACAGGTTAGAGACAGACTCTTCTTGGAGGTACCCAGGAAAGGACTGACAGGTGATGACAAGCTGGGATGGGGAAATTCTGCTGAGGCAGCGGGACAAATCCTTTGCCAGAGGAGTGAGGCAGCCCTGGGACAGGGCCTGGTGCTCGAAGGAATGGTTTGCATCTGGGGAAACTTTCCAAACTGCCCTGGTCCAGGCCCTGAGAGACCTGCTCCAATTCTAAAGCCAACCCTTACCTGCGCGGAGGGCAGACTGGAAACCCTTGGATACCACTCCCCCAAGTACTTCTGTGAGCCTTTGATGTATTCCTCAGTGCAGTACAGCTTTCAAGAATGGGGGAATGTTTGGATGAGAGAGTCTTTGTGGTACTCACATAGACTGCCGATTCTCCATTAAAGTCCTGCCAAGAAAGACAAATTTGCGTTAATCCTGTCTGGTGATGGGAAGAACAGGATAGAAAGTTACTGTCTGGGGAAGGAAGGTGCCTACTGTCCCTTTTCCCTATGCAGACCATTTCATGGTTCAGGTGTCACAGGTGAACACCTTTGCTGAAACCAGGTCTGGGGTTCTTAAAAAACCTCTGTGACTTCAAAAAGATTCTAGTGGGGTCCCATCACACAGGATTCCTGTCTTAGATGAGTGCCCCAGGATTTGTCCAATAAGTGTCCTCAAGCCTTGACTTACGCCCAGTGCTCCTTACTCCATCACACAGAAGAGCTCAGCTCCTTTTCAGCCTTTGGGACTGCACTCCACTCTACCTGGACCTCTCTGGACCAGACCAACCCAGCCTGGCTGCCCCCGGCCCCCACTTCCCTTTGTCCCTTGGTCAGGATGGGATGGCTGCCCTCTCTGTGTCCCTTCAGGCAGGAGGTGGAAGCAAGGCCTGGGGTCTCTCCCACGTGCCACATACGTCCTAGCCATTCAAAGCATTGTTGACCACGATCCTGCCGTTGAAACTGCCTTTGCCCTGGGAAGACAAATGGATGTCACCCTTTGCCCAGTGTGAAGCAGGGGCCACCCTATACCCCTGCGCAGGGCCAATGTTCAGCTACCAGCCCAAACCTCTGCCCACACAGGTCCAGATTGGGAGATGACTGCTCTGCGCTCATGTCACAAGGTTATAGGGTGCAGATAGCTTCCCCAGAGAAGGAGAGGTCATAATCCACTTGGGGATTAATCCCATAATCCCCCTGGGAAGTAATCCCATAATTCTTTTGGGATTAATCCTATTATCCCAATGAAAATAATTCTGTAATGCAGGATTGGTGAATGGAGTGCAGCTGTGTTCGATATTAGCAATGGACAAGCAATGGCAGCTTGCATCTCTAGAAATACATGTGCCAGC